CTTCTTTCTCAGTTTGGAAATAATTCCTTTGCCTTCTTGCTGATTTAAAGAACTGTTGTAAAATCCAGTTTTAAGCAAAAGTCAGATTATAAAAACATAACATTTTAATATTTTCTTTATTTCCCATTTTTTCTGACACTATAATGTATTTTAGAGTACAAGAAGTTTGAAGTCTTGTTGAGACTTTTACCTGTAGAGATTAGAGGAAGCCCTGGGTGAATGAAGTCCTGAGTGAGTACGTTTCTTAACATGGGCAAGAGCCTGTCGAGGATGCACAAGGCTCCAGACCCATGGGACAGTTGACAAAGCCATTACTCACACAAGCCAGGCTCAAGAGAAATGGCGAAGCTTTTCTCAGGGGTCAGCTCTGAGTGTTTATGAATGATGGAGCCTTGTGTGCAGACACTAGCTACAGCTTCCTCCTTCTGGGTGTTTAGAGCCTGGGACTGCTCACCTCCAGAGACCTCCTAGACTAGCTAACCCTGCCCGCATGATACTCCTAATAAAAAAGCCGAGGTTTCAGATGGTGATGGAAGTGATAATGTCACAGAGCCCCACATGATCCCAGCTTCATTGTATGTGCATCTGTATGTCCGTGTATCTGTCTTTTCTTCATTCCCTTGCTGTCTCTAGCCTGGGTTCTGGGACCCAAACCGCAAGGCATGTGCCCTTTGCTCTCAGCATTGTCCAAACATACTTGCTATCTCTTGAAATGCCAAATCTTGATTTTTTTTACACTTTTCACATTTATTTATTTATGTAGTGTATATTCATGCGGTAGTGCACACATGGAGGTCGGAGAACAGCTTGAGGGAGCAGGTTCCTTCCTTACATCGTGTGTATTCCAAGGACTGAACTCTGTCAGGCTTGGCAACAAGCATTTTTATTACACACTGAGCCATCTCACCGGGCTTAAATCTTATTTTCCACTGTAGCACGAATCCTAATTGGTCTTAATAAAAACCCAGAGCCAGATATTGGGGTAAATGCTGAAAGATCAGAGAGACAAAAGAACAAGCCACAGCCACCTCTCACTTTACCAACTCCTCAGCCTGAAAGAGAGTGAGTTCCTGCTTCTTCAGGCCTTTCATTCCTCTCCATCCAGCCATATTACTTCCTGTCTCCACCTCCCTAGTGCTGGGACTAAAGGTGTGTGCCACCACTGCTTGGCTCTGTTTCTCTTTTATACTGGATCAATCTTGCATAGCCCAGGGTGGCCTTGAACTCAGAGATCCATCTGCCTCTGCCTCCCGAGTGCTGGGATTAAAGGTGTGTGCCACCACTGCCTGGCCTCTATGGTTAACTAGTGAATTAGCACCATACTCTGCTCTTCAGGCAAGATTTTTTTGTTAGACCACAAACAAAATATCACCACATTCCACTATATTTTTCCTAATTCCTTAGTGACCTTGTACATTTTTTTCTTTTTCTATCAGACCTACTTATCCTCCAGTTTCCCACCTCTGATTTATATTTCTGATTAGAGGTAAAATTCCTCTCAAGCAATACTTGGATATTTAAGAACAATAAACCCCCTGCTGAAGTTATTTTTCTTTAGAAAGTCAGGTAGGACTTCAGGCCATGTTTTCTTGCTCTTCTTGTTAGGAACAGACTCTAAAAGGAGGAAATTACACAAAGAAAAATATCTCCCCTCTCAAAATTGAAAAAAAGAGGGAAAAGTAGGACATCAAAAGATACTTATTTCTTTTCTCATAGACATAAACAGCTTAAAATCTTATTTCACAATAAAGTATCAATATCTGGTATGTTGATAAAGTTCCCAGATTAAAAATATTTAATGTAATTGTTTATATATATAGTTTTGATTTCCCCTCAGTTATTAAGGTTAACTTTAAACATAGACAAGAATATCTAAACATAAAAACAAGGAAAAATGAAGCAAAGAATTAACAATTGTGTCTGCATAAATCTGTATATGCAGATGACCCTTCAAACACATATACATAGGGTCGCCTCCCACTCTAGAGTCAAACAAAGCAAATTCCTTGAATGTCTACTAAATTATGTGTGGCAGACCAGCCCCCATCATTATTTACCCCAGGGACTCTTGAGGAATGAGGAATAAGAGACTTAGTTAAGAGAAGAGAGAAACAGAAAACACAGGATAGACTCCAGTGGGCCTGGAACCTTATCCACCCACCCAGAACTTTATTCCCAAGGTCTATTTATAACAGTGCCAAGGGGTGGAGCAAAAGACCTCCCCCTTGCTAGTTACAGTCAAGTGTAGACCCTTACAAACACCTGATACTCAGGCCCGTGGTCCATCAACCTCTTATGCAGTCCTGCTGGGTACAGCCACTAGGAAACCTAGTAGGCTCCAACAGGTCCCTCTTCTTTATATTTTAAAAGAAAAAACTCTTGATGTAACTGCATCAAACTTAAAGACTAACAGGTTAACATAATTTTAACAAATATTGCTATACATAGTTACAATTACATCTTAAAGCAAACTCTTAATCCTACAGACCTACTCTCAACCTTAATTTCTACAAACCTACTCTCAACCTACAAACCTACATACAAAAACAATTTCGTAATAGAACTATACAAAACATAACATTAATTCACTCAAGTAACATGAAAATATTTTTTTAAAAATATTCTAAGGAATATTAATATTCCCCCTTTTCTTAAAAAAAACTTCTCTATTTACAGTCCCAGTTTTACATAAACAGTTCTAGAAGCAGTTCATAAGTCATCCCTATTGATAGAGTCTATATGCATAAGTAAATTCAAACTGTTCCATTGTAATGAAATCATTACTGTCAATTTCATTTCTTCTTTTTTTGGTTTTTCAAGACAGGGTTTCTCTGTGTAACTTTGGGCCTTTCCTGGAACTCGCTTTTGAGACCAGACTGGCCTCGAACTCACAGAGATCCACCTGCCTCTGCCTCCCGAGTGCTGGCATTAAAGGCGTGCGCCACCACTTCCTGGCCCAATTTCATTTCTTAAGTTCAAAAGTTCAAAAAGAGTTCTGGTACCTACCATTCCTAAAAGTTCCTCTGAGAGCTCATAGTCAAGGCCTGGCTTGTCAGCTGCCCTTAAATCTGTGTATAGCTGTCAGATTGTAATGTACTGAAGCAAACCGTTCCAAATATGAGACGTTCCATAACCAAGACTTTTCAGTTCAAGCAAATCTCTCTGAAACTTTCACTTTCAGCTACCGCTGCATTTTGCAGTCTTGTAGCCTTCCATAACCAGGCTGCTCCCGGACCAGGCTAGAGATCTTCATCTTACAACCATACGGGTCAGCTGCCATGAGCTGAAACTGTGGCCCTCCCACAGCAACCCCGACTTTGGGAGGAAAACCCAATTACCTGCATCGCTGACATTCCAAGTGCTCAGCAAACCCGGTCCCAGAATGCTGCATACGCTGTCCTGTTGTTTCGACAAATGTAGCCTCAGGGCAACTCCATGATTGCAGTCATATCCCGCTGCTAGGAGCTGGGACTGCGGTTAGTCTCAGCAGTTCCCACAGAGCCTCAGGCTGGCTGATCAGCCTAGAGTACAGTTCTCGCTTCCACAGCTTCCTGCTCTCCAGCGTGTCTCAGCTGCCTGTCCGGCACTGACACCATTCTGCTCTCGGCCTCCGGAAGCGGTCTGGTCTCCAAAGGCTCTGTTGCTCGCAGTTTGTCTTTCCCGAGGTGACACAAACCGCTGGGCTCTGTCCGCCTTTGCCTTTCTCGCGGTGTAGCATCTTAAAGGTTGCAGAACCTTGCTGTTCACCATTCCCGCAGCGCAGCATCTCTGCAGGGCTTTCCAAACAGTTGCTTGTCATTAGCCTCTCTCCCGGCTTAGCTTGTTCATTTTTCACCGTGACTTTTTTTTAGTAGAAAGCTTGTAGCCCCTCGTGAATCTGCCACCTACACTGCGTTGATGCCTTGAGGGTTTCAGCTTCCGAGACCCTCTGGCTGCTGTCTCTTGCATTGGCTCTTGGTGTCTGCTGCTTAAGAAGCTATGACGTTTTATGGGTCTCAGCTTTGGACACCTGGCTGCTATTTTCTGAAGCTGGCAGTCTGGAGCTGCTTCTTGTTGTTATTGGTGGTTTCTGGAACTGCCAAGTCTGCTATGGATATTGTTTTCCCAGGTTAGGAAAACCTACTCTTCATATCCTTAGACCTAAAGCCTATATATTCTAAACCTACATTTTTCTGACTAAATCTATGACCTGTTTAAACCTACATTCTATAGGACTACTTTATAAACCTTACTTCTCATCTTATTTAAACTTACATTTACAACTAACATGGCCATTTATTACATGTCTTTTTCTTTGTCCCTGTTCAGGCACCATCTGTGGGGGACCAACCTCCACCATTATTTACCCCAGGGACTCTTGAGGAATGAGGAGTAAGAGACTTAGTTAGAAATAGAGGGGAGAGAAACAGAAAACACAGGATAGACTCGAGTGGGCCTGGAACCTTATCCACCCACCCAGAACTTTATTCCCAAGGTCTGTTTATAACAGTGCCAAGGGGTGGAGCAAAAGACCTCCCCCTTGCTAGTTACAGTCAAGTGTAGATCCTTACAAACACCTGGTACCCAGGCCCGTGGTCCAATCAACCTCTTATGCAGTCCTGCTGGGTACAGCCACTAGGAACCTAGTGGGCTCCAACAATAATGTCTGTTAAATTTAATTTTTTTTGTCAATTCTAGGAGTCTATGAATTGGCTACTTTTCAGATGAAACCTGGTGGCCCAGCTCTGTGGGGTAACGCATTCAAAAGGGCAGTAAATGCCCACGTTGATCTCGGCTACTCTACACTAGTTGGTGTTTTCCACACTGAATATGGAGCCCTCAACAGAGGTACAGCTGTCTATTTCTGTGAGACTGTGATGACTGTTGCTGATCACCTATGTTTCTTGGATTTTTTTTAATTATGATTTTAATTTTGAGAGTTTTTTTACTAATTGTAAGGTATGAAAACACTTTTTTTTTTTTAATTGCAATTGCTAATACCTTTTGGAGCTTTTTCACAGGCTGTTGCCTAGAAACTGGAAAAATCTTTAAGAAAATATTAATTCTTTTCACCTTTTTTGTAAATGTCTTGTTATGTTTTTTTTTTTTCAAAATAACATCATTGGAGTAAAGAGGTTGTTTCTGAATGAAAAAGTAAATATATATATTTTATAAAGGCAAAAAATATGGACAAAGCCAAAAAAAATTACCTATTTTTCATTATTGAAGTAATAGTGTTCCATAAATGACCAAGGGATGCCAAGACTAAAGACTTATTAGATATAAAAGGTCTAGAAACAGTGTCTGTGCCTGGTTGGTGATAGCTCCCTTGTGCTCTCGAATGGGTAGATGACTGTAGTGGATGATGACCCGAGTTTATCCCTAGCACCCATATTAAAGTGGGCTCCAGTGGCACACACCATCTACTGTGTCGGCCCTGGGAAGATGGAAATAGGAGCCTGGCCACCTAGTCTAGTTAAGTTCCAAGTTCAGAGAGACCTGTATCAAAACAATAAGGAAGAGAGAAATTGAAGAGAACACCTGACATTGACCACTGACATCCACATGCTTGAGCATCCACACACACAGACATACACATACACAATCAAGGTTAAGGATATAGATCAGATGTAGAGTACTTACCCAGCATCCATTCTAAAGGCCCTAGACCTTATGCCTAGTACCACACACATTTTTAAAAATATCTGCTATACGGTTATATTTAGAATATAATGCACATACACATATGTACATGTACATATACGCAGGTAACAACAGTTAATGAAAATAGAGGGCACAAATTTGAGAGAGCAGAGGAGGTTGTATGGGGGGGTCTGGAGGGAGGAAAGGGAAGAAAGAAAATGTGTAAATATGTTACAATCTCAAAATAAAAGAAAAAAATACCTGTTAATGAGAATTACAGCTAACTTCTGATTTACCTCTGCAGTCCATGTTCTCTGGTGGAACGAGAGCGCGGACAGTCGCGCAGCTGGGAGACATCAGTCTCATGAGGATCCCAGAGTCGTGGCTGCTGGTGAGCTGTTTCATTAGGCGTGAGTTATTTTTAGAACAAATTTGATTCAGCTGATAGCTTCATTGTCTTATAAAATGTCTTTGCAGTTCGGGAAAGTGTCAATTACCTCGAGTCTCAGCAGAATATGTTCCTGATCCCAGCGTCCTTTTCACCACTGAAGTAGCTTCCGACCTGACGTCAGACATCCCAGTCACTGATGTGAGATGTGTCTGCAGCGGGTGCTCATTTCTCCCGAGAGAATCATTGGCTTTGTTGTCTGAAGGAGGTGGTGAGTTACCTCACTGTGCCCTCTGCATCTTAAGGCTACCTGTGTCCATTACTACCAGTAAAAACTTCGGTTCATTTTCGCCGTGCCATTTCATGTCTACCACACGTGAGAAGGAGTTCTGTTACTCCATGACCCTGGTACTTTATTGTTCCACAATATCTTGTCTTCTGTGATTTTATGACTTTTGCTGTCTTATATTCAAATAATGATTTTAAAATTTTTTGCCTGGAAATATTTTTAAATTAGTTAAATACAGTATCTATATTTTTTGTCACATTCATTTTTCCTGAAATTTAAAAATATTTTTTACCCAGGAATGTTTGCTTTGTGATATCAAATGGGATTCATAGAAACATTAAATCTAGTATTTATCCTTATTATTTGGAAAAGTATAATATCATGTCTTCTGTATTCATTATGATTTCACATTAATTATTAAGTCAAAGTTGGAAAATAATATATCCTTGAGACTTATTGCTGGATAGTATGGTTTTAGCATGTTCGTTTTTAATTAACTTTTACTGCTTTTAACTTTACCTTGAATCACTCACAAAGATTGTAAGACACTTATTTATTTCAATGAGATCTTTATAATTATGGAAATCTTTGACCTAATAAAAGCCTTCTCATCCATTCTGATTTTTTCAGCTGTGTCTTGTCTACATATATCCTCTTCTCTGGAGCTCTTCCGATGTTGCATAGGGTAATGACACCACACTAATGTGGCAGCTTCATCGTGAGCGTTAAGTTACATAGACTATGCTGGTGGCTCTGAAGGCGGACTTCTGTAGACTGCCGTCTTGACTGTCTGGGCTGTGAGGTGGGGCTCAGGAAGGCAAGCTCTGCCGCTTTCGGAGACATGCATCTCAGTACTCTACAGCAGAGTTCACTGTAACGTGGCTCACATTTATATAAAATAACTGGAACTGGGTGTGTGCTTCACAGAAACATAAAGTGACAATTAAAAGATGAAATTAAACCAGTCTCAGATAGTTTCAGGTCTCAAAAAGACAAATACCATGTTTTTTCTCACTTGTGGTTCCTAGATCTTTTATACACAGTATCTTGTATACACAGTCATGGATGTCTGTATGAAATGAAAGTAAATACAAAACTGGTTACAGAGGGGACAATGAGAGCAGAGAGGAGTGAAAGGGGGAGGGGAGGCTTGGTGGAAGGGAGCATAACTCAATGTATAATGTGTGCTTGTATGAACATTTCCTTAGGTAGCGCAGGTACCATGTGCAGTGAATATGTACAATGAATTTTTTAATTGTTAAAATCCAAATGATCATAAACAAAAATTTTAAAATTTAATTAAAAACTTAAAGTTCATTATAAAATGTTAAAAGTAACTTAGCATTTTGCTTCGTTAACTCTGAGCATCAATCTTCTTTGACCATTTCTGTAGTAGAGTAAAAGGTAAGAAAAAAGGCCGGGCCGTGGTGGTGCACGCCTTTAATCCCAGCACTGGGGAGGCAGAGGCAGGTGGATCTCTGAGTTCAAGGCCAGTCTGGTCTACAGAGCTAGTTAGAGAGAAAGAGGGGGAGGGGAGAGGGGGAGAGGAGGAGGGGAGAGAGGGGGAGAGAGGAGAGAGAGCAGAGAAGAAAACAAGCAAGCAAAACCCATCCTGACTTGATTTCCCCCTATAGTAATATAAAAGAAGTGTCATGCTTCCAGCCTCTATTAATTCTCTCTCAAATGTCCCACTACCCCACTAAGCAAATAGCTCTCATCAAACTCATTTTCTAGTCCTCATTTTAGTGGGCTCCTAGCAGTTGACCTCTTCTTTGTTCCAGAAATATTGTCTTCATTCCCATGAACAGTAGCTGCTTAGTTTTCTTTCCTCATTAATGCCTTCGAGTCTCCACCTTGTCTCCTTGACCTCCAGTGGTGTCACGTTCCAGCTGACTCCTTAGCCTTCTTTCCTGTCCTGAGCTCACTTCCTGAATTATGTCTCAGTCTTAAGTCTCCAACTGCCACCTGTATTCAGACAGTCAATGCAGTATATATACATTCTCTAGACTCCGGCCTTATCCAACTGCCAGTCTTAACACCTCTGCCTGAATATATTAGAAACTTCACACCAACCTGCCTAAAGCTGAGCTCTTAATCTTTACTGAGCACCCTGACGTACTGAACGACACCTCCCATCCTGTCCATTTGCTCAGGTCATTGACCCCATTACGTATCCAATAGCAAGTCCCAAAAATCCTGAATTTGATTGTTCCATATCCCTGCAGCCACTATTCTGATGCAAGCCCATTGTTGTGGTGATATTGTGTTCCCCAATGTATTTTGCACCCTAATAAACTTATCTGGGGTCAGAGAACAGAACAGCCACAAGACAGACATAAAGGCCAGAAAATGGTGGCACACACACCTTTAATCCTAGCATTCTGGAGGCAGAGATCCATGCAGATCTCTGTGAGTTCAAAGCCACACTGAAAACAACCAGGCATGGTGACTCATGCCTTTAATCCCAGGAAGTGATGGTAGGAAGCAGAAAGGTATATAAGGCATGAGAACCAGGAACTAGAGCCTTTTAAATTTTTGACTTTTAGCAGCAGTTCAGCTGAGATCCATTCGGATGAGGACACAGAGGCTTCCAATTTGAGGAAACAAGATTAGCTGAGGAATTGGTGAGGTGAGGCTCATTCTGTTTCTCTGATCTTTCAGCGTTCACCCCAACATCTGGCTCCTGAGTTTTTTATTAATAAGACTGTTTAAGATTCGTGTTACACATCGTTATTGGGCTTTAAAGAGAAAGCTCTTAACTGATCTGCTCCCATCCTACTCCGTTTTCAACACAGCAGCCAGAATATAAAACGGAAACCACATTACCTCATTTCTCAACACCCCCATGCCTTCAATAGCTTCCTCTCTCAGAGTCAGTGTCCAAAGCCCTTCAGTGTGACCTACAAGCCCTTACATGACCTGTCCTATTATCTTTCTTAGTGTCATTCTGTTCCCTCAGTTCCAGGCTGACCTAACAGCTCTTTTCTTTGCCTCACTAAGCATTATCTTGCCTTCAAGTCTATTCCCCCTACCTAGAATCTTCTTCCCTGGACAGGAATCTTCATGGATCATTTCCATACCTTCTTGGGATTTTTACCCCAGAGTCCCATGCAGCCCTCCCTGATAGCCCCATTTAAAATTGAAGTCCCTGTGTTGCTATGGAATGACTGTGTTTTTACCCTTCAGATTCACATACTGAAACCCTAAGATGATGTTTAGAGGTGGAGACCTTGTGAGGTGTTCTATTGCTGGGAAGAGACACCTTGAGCACAGCAACTCTTGCAAGGGAAAGCAGTTAATTGAGTGGGCTGGCTTACAGTGTCAGAGGTTTTGTCCATTGTCATCATGGTGGGAAGCATGGAGACACACAAGCTACATGATGCTGGGGAAGTAGCTGAGTTCTACATCTGGATCTCCAGGCAGCAGGAAAAGACTTTGTACTTGGAATGGGCCCTTGAAACCTCAAAGCCCACCCCCAGTGACATACTTCCTCCAACAAGACCACACCTCATAAGCCTTTCAAATAGTGTCACTCTCTGGTGTCCAAGCATTCAAATCTATGAGCCCATGGGGGCCATTCTTATCCAAACCACCACATGAGGTAATTGGGCTTAGGTGAGGGGATAGAGCTCCTTGATAGAGTTAGTGTCCTTCTAAGGGGATAAAGGATCCTCAACACAATTGCAGTGCTCCCTGGGGTTTAATCTGTGCCTGCCAGCCCCACCTATCCTTTCTCCTGCCTTGCTATTGGCCATTCAGTTCTATGTTAGACCATCAGGTATTTTAGGCAGGCACAGTAACACAGCTTCACAGAGTTAAACAAATGCAACATAAACCAAAGTAACACACCTTAAAACAATATTCTCCAACAAGAACATGGTTTGATTTTTTTAGTTTGAACTAATTGGCCCAAGACCCTGAGGTAAGAGAAGTTGGTGGAGAAAGGCTCCTGACAGTATAAATAGCTAAAGGATTTAAAACCACTCATAAAGGAAAAGAGGGGTGTCAGCTGTAGTCTACAGGTCAGAGGAATCCAAATGCTAGCTTTGTAATCTACCTCTATTTGTCTGTTTCCTTTCAGAGCACAATGCCCTGTAGATTTGTGCATATTCTGCCTCTTTACCTCTCATTCTCCCTCATCAGTCCACTGACTTTGGAGGTTCCCCAGGAACCATCTTATGAAGTGCAATGGCCATTCACACAATTACCTTGCTCATCATGGCAGTTTCAGACATCAGTAGATTTCTACCTTCCGGGAATATGCCGTCCTCTAAATTCCAGTATTGGCACACCCCAGATGTGTTTGCTCCTCTTTTTCCTTCTTGCTGTCCATTGCCTCCCAGTTTTCTTTGCTACCTTTGAAATCTCAGGCTCAAACTTCCATTCTCTTTAGATAAGGAAGCTCATCCAAGTCCCACAACTTACAAACTATGTGGGGTGTATGGGATGTGTGTGTGTGTGTGTGTGTGTGTGTGTGTGTGTGTGTGTGTGTGTGTGTGTTGCACTGTTAATATGCCCATTTTTATCTTCTGTCATTGCCTGAGCTCCAGACTGGAATACCAACGGCATGTTTCACCATAAGCATCTACCAAGTTCACATACTAGAAGCCATTTTTGACTTTTCATTCCCTCAACCCCTACCTATAGCCTGTGAGCAAGTGCTGCCAGCTCTGAAGAGGACACTGAATGTTACCCTT